TGTAAAGCCTCGGGTAGCTTCTTGCGGCGCGTGTTAATATTCCTAAACAAATAGCATGATTGTAATAATAGTTTTTGCGGTTATTTCACTAAAATCTGTACATTTAGCCACGGCGGGAAAAAATGGGAACGTGTTCACATTGAAAGGGTTGTTGATTATATCCAGTATTAATGGCGTCGATTTTGTGTTCTGTTTACCGTAGATATCACGGAAGATACCCAACAAGACCGAAAAGGGAAAATTTTGTAAAACAAATATCAATTAACACCGACATATTCGGTTACAATCCAAATATACAGATAAGAGTTTTCTACCCTTGTAATCAAGTTAGTGGTGTGAGAACGACAATGGGACTATTAACTGAGAGGAGAGATCTACTTTCACCGAGACAACGTCAATGGAGTCATGAAAACAACAATCATATCACACACACACAAGCGTATTTCGAAGTTAATACGTTGTCTGTTTGTACAATTACAATTATTTTCTTTATTTCTTACGAATCGAAGATTCACAAACATAACAATACATAAATGCATTCAATGAAAATTGACAAAGTAACTTACATGTTATATCACAATATACAAACATAAATTCAAATGATAAATTGTATTGTAAAGTAAGAGTTACACTGGAGTTAACTCCCCTTTGCGTCTCTACGCTCCTTAACTTAACTTAAGTTACATAAGAGAGATGACCATCATAAGAAATACAGAAAGGTGGAGAATTTTACAATTGACACAGTATAAAGTTTAGGTTAAGACATCATTTGTAGTAAAGTTTGCACATTCTGAATATACAAGTTATATCATGTTACTCGACACAAGTAGAAACTCTACCTATGTCAACGCAGGTGAAATAAAATACAGCATCATACTCTGCCAACATAGAAATTCTTCAAGTAACCTTGATTTTGATCTACACAGAAAACATCTTACTGAATCACCAACTTGTGTCTGTGGTGAAGCCCAGGAAACAGTACATCATTATTTTCTCATTTGTAACAAGTATGATGAACCACGTAAAACCCTCAAGGGTAAATTATTTGATGTTAATCACAATCACTACACTCTGGATGTTCTTCTTCCTGGCTGTGTTGATTGTGATGAACAAATCAATGTAAACATATATGAATGTACTGCTGAGATTGTCAGAGCTACACATAGATTTCCACATATATAAGACACTATATATTTCTGATTTGATATTATGTCTCTTAAATATGAAAACCATCAGTTTCGACTGTGCTTAAACATTGTGTGTCATCATCACCTTTTCCTTTTCCTATGGTCGCCATTCCCCCTTTTGATCTGATAGGCATATATTTGTATGTTTTGTATCATCATACTTATTGCAAAGTGTTGTTTTATGTGATAGAATAATTACTAAGTAAGGACAATCTCATAATGGTGGACCAATTCAAAACCTCAGTTTGCATCTTTCTGTTTACTCATTTTTGTCATTCATATAGTAAAACAGTTCTAAACAGAATGTAAAATCCTTGATTTACCTACTTATTAACAAATCCCTTCAAAATATTGATTTGAATCCACCAACACTTCAAAATCTGCAAACTTCTTTCTTTCTTAGTTATCGTAACTGTGAAAAGCAGAATGCAGTATCCATGACTGGCCCCAAATCTCATGGGTGAATGACCAATGGCTGATAAGCCAAATGGACATTTTTAGTCTGTATCCCATGAGTGGAGGGAATCCTGTCATGGATTCTAGATTTGAGGCTCTAAAAAATTACAATTTTGGAAAACATAGTGAATACACTATTTCATAAATTATAACAACTCTTAAATATTGTCCTTACTTCCAAACTCATATCCCATATTTAAACATTTTATGTTTCATACTTAAAATAATCAAATTTGAAATTTCAAAATAACAATATACTATATTATATATATATATACATATACTCATTGTTACCTTTAAGAGAAAACTAATATAGCCTATGCCTTTTTCTAAATGAAATAAAATTTATTGAAATGAAAATGTCCGTACAATGTACAGTAAGGTTGTATTCAAATTCATATGCTGTTATATTGTTAGAACAAAATTTTATCCACAAACGTTCTTATACATGCTTGCTCATTTACATCCCGCATGAAAAAGCATGGGGTGCTGGCGGCATTTCTTTGTCAATCTTTACAATAGAGAACAAAAACAACACTAACGTGTCAGCCTGAACTCTGTTTTATGATAAAACTATTTGATTTTTTTCGCATCTATAGATAACTTGTAGGTCGAAGCCAGCTTGCGGCTTTATTTTTGAACGTTCGCCCAGGCGAGGAAGACATTCGGTTCTGCCTCCAGGCAGGGACATACCAAAGTCCTGAAAAATGGTAGTTGTTATTTCTTGCTTAGCGTTCAGCATTTAGGGAAATGGCGACAACTTGTTCACCCGGTGACAGTATAATGAGACTGGCGGAATGCTGTGATTGGTGCCTTCGACATGGTTTAATGAGAAAAAACTCTAAAGTCGGCATCAAACCTTTGCTATCATAAGGAGGCAAATACACCATCATACAATGTCTACGGCACACATACAACATGCACAGATACACAACACATGGAGACACGTTCTCAAATGACTTTTGTGTATTTGTTGGCCTTATATACGTTCTCATTGTTCTAATTACTGACATAATCGAAGAGCTCGATATTATACAGTTTCCTGTTCTTTTCATTAACTTAAATCTGCAAGATTAAGTGGATATCGGCAATGGTTTTAAACCAAGNATATGTAAAAAAACAAATCATACATACGGTGGGTTTGTTTTTGGATGTTTACACTGCACATATATATTATTGATGTTTATTTTCATGTAAAATTACACCATTCTAAGCATTTATTTTTATTTGAGTTAGAACATGATTCGAAAAAGTGACAATGAGTACGCTTCATATAAATGGTTATATCTGTTAAAATTCCCTTATCAGTTTCATTCATGAATATAAATCAAATGATAAATGTATTCTGCTCAATATCAATTTCAATTTAACATATTTTATTGAGAAAAAAAAAGTCAACAGGATTGGACATCAGGCATGGCCTATGCAAGTCCTCTTCTTACAGCTACATCCAGTGTTTAGCGCATTGCTTACATATTTTAAAGACGCTTACATTGTAGATACATAAAGGGGAAGTAACTCCTCTAAAGCAGATTGTATAGTAGTGATGGGTAAGGATAGCTACTCTTTTATTTAGGTCCCGTATCGGAGATACGGGGGCCCTATAGTAATCAATCTGTCTGTCCATTTCTACTATCAAGAAAGGGAAAATAACGATAGGAAAGTCGACTTCGTCGTTTATTGTACATTTTAGTAGCAAACTGTTCCTGTTATGTTGTAAGTTAAGAGGGAAAAGGTTGAGGAGGATTAAGGAAATAATAAGTGCGCAACCGGAAAAGTAAGTCGCGAGGAATAGAAATAACAATGATGCATCACAACAAGCTTGAACTAGCTTTCAACGATGCCACATCAGCAATTCAGCAACAATGAAATCGGCTAAAATAGAGGCACAGTTTGTTCCCATCGGAATGCCTACAGTCTGCTTGAAAAAGCTTGCCACACAACTGAGCAAAAGTGCGTTAACCAAAAACTCGATTATTCTTATCATTTAATCTTCTGTATATTTTTTCTGGCTATTATTGTGATTTCCACAGGTTATGCCCCTAAATAATATACAACCATATATTTATATGAGTTTGTTTCAATTATTCATATAATGATTCTTGGGAGGTTGGCAGGCACAGAGAATAGCGAACTTGACTTTGACCTGATCACATACGGTTTCTCTGGTTACTCTAAATAAAGCTATTGTCAATGCATCTATTATATAAAAAACTATAAATATCACTCGGCTCTCTCCTTTTACAGGAGAGCGTGTCCTTGCTACGTACCAGGAATAGTGTTGTAACGTTCCAAATGAACGCGTCTTTAGATGCAGTTCCAATTTCCACCAGTTCTGCGTCAAGCTCCTGGCAGTCATCTAGAACAAGCAATGGGCTAATTAGTGTTTCAATTTCTAATAAAACGAGTTTGTGCGGACTATCGATGAATATTCAACATTAGTTAGAAGTCATGCCTAGTTGTTTTCACCTCGTCGTCCCAGGAATATATACATAATCGAAGTGACCGTAACGACTGAAACTGTTCATCGATAAATTTCAGTGTATATACGAAACAAAGCTATAAATAAATACAGCTCACGGTATATGGGACTGACCGAACGTTATTTATAGCTGCAGTTCCGGGTATAAGAGAAACAAACGAGGCACACTAATAAGGTTCAGAATTACGGAGAGTTAGCTTTAGGAACAGTTACAATGTAGGAGTATCGCGAAAAAAAAGCAAACGTGTTTAATAGTTCAGAGTATTGAGTTTTCCAAACCCACGAACATGTAATGTATTATTTAGTTTTATAGTTTCTGTAACGTGTAAAGCTGAACAGAAACATATGTTATGCAGTACGTGTATATGTAACAATGATTGGTAAATGTATATCAAATGATGTTAATCTCGAAAATTAGTTTGTTCCACTTATTCACCACACATTAAATACTAAGACAATTTGTTAGCGTGTGATGATATGTGATGAAAGCATGGTTATATCAATTATTTTTATTCTTTCTACATTCAATATGTTTCCGATGTATTATTATGTTCAGTGTCTCTGTAGATAAAAAAACAAAAACAACAAAGCAATAACACACCTTGATAACGAAGTATGACATTGCCATGTTTGTTGGTAAGGTGAACAAAGTTTGGTCACAGTGTGGTAAAAAATATTGCATATAAAATATCTGAGTTACTTTTGTCATCATTTGTTAACGTTGTGTCACAAACATTTTGTTCTTACACAGCATACACAGACATGTACTGTAACGCTTGTATTGACTTGTATGGACTATTAGTTCTAGGTGAGTTACACAAGCACACCACATTAGTTCAGTACATGTCAGTTATATATCAATGCATGCATAGTAAGCTACACATTTAAATATTAAATGAGTTCTGGGTAGAAACACGAACACTTGTCGAACCCGGAAGTCGATTGTATACGCAAGCCGTGCTTTTCAGGTAAGTGAAAAAAACATTACATTTTCCCTTCGTAACTTAATTTAAAAAAAAAAATCACTTGTATAACACTGTGATATATATGTTTCTCCTTCGTAGATCTATATATAGTATATGTTTGTCTTATATCCGTTGCTTTATTAATTCAGAGTACAAAGGTAGAGAGAAATGGCTAACACAGATTAGTACACTACCTTATTCATAACCTAATTAAATACTCGTGTAATTTAAAAAAACTAAAAAAAAACATATATATAGTCTTATGAAGTACTGGGCGATAGTCCTTCAACTCCTCCTTGTTAATTCCAGGCTTCTTTAAAAATGGTCTAGCATGTGCCTTCTTGAAACACAATGGAACCTTTGACTTCGCGAATGATTTTTTCATGGTTGAGATAATCAATGGAAGCAGTGCTTCAAGACATTGATTTAATAGGTCTGTGGGCAGTGGATCAAGTTCACAGGACCCCGATTGCGAGGTCATGATGGTATTGCGCAACTCGTCCTGGGTTGTTGGTGAGTGCTTCGTCAATGGTTCCCTATATATTGTCATAGATATCATTGTCAGCAGTAGAGTTCACTTCCGGTATATATTTTTCCTGATCGAGCTGATTTTATTCAGACAGTCTTTTTTCAGGATCACAGCTTGGTAGAATAATTTCAACTTTCTGACCTATCAAGTTTTTGGGGAGTCTAAACATTGTTCCCTATAAATCTGTTGGTGAACAATTAATTTGGTCTTTCGCCACTGTCTCTCTGCTTTTCTACGGTTCTATTTTTCTACGCGGAGATTTTCATTATACCACAGGGTATTCGGCCACCGAGCGACAGATTATTGACACTAAATTCAGAGGAAAAAATGACTTATAGTGACCAGCTGTTGTTGGCTTGATGACATGTAGATTCTCGTACGATACTGATGATGTCGGAATCCGTGTTGAAGTATCGGAACGGATCAACTTAGGTGAACTGGGTTGCCTTTGAAGGTGCACGCACGTGTATTGTATGAATCGGGCAACGGTATTTGTTTTCATCGTCTAATGGAATATGTGAAGATTTTTTAAGACTTCTATTGCGTATTTCAAAAGTAAATGAATAAATTATAGATTTATAAATTTCCGTGTGATAAGCAATTGGCGGTTTCGTTTCCAGAAAACTAGTGGCAGTCATTAATAAATCATGTTTACATTATAGCTCTAACGGGCCACCGTAAATGTCTACCGGCTTGTTGCCTCACTGAATCTATGTGAACAAAATACATGATTAAAAAGATAAGATTCATTTTATCATAACAAAGAGTATCGGATTCCGTTTGCATCTGATTTGCAGCTAAATCATTCCAGTGCATAAATAATTTAAACATATTCACTGGAGTTTAGAAAGCTGTTGACCTTGAACAAGGTGATAGACATTACGACAGGTATTACATAATAAAATGTAAAATGCGTTTAACTTTCTGCAACATCTATCACCAACTCAGTAATTTTTGAACACTGGCTTGTTTATATGTCGCTTCTCGGATCATGTTGTGGTCTTTTTATTTAGTTTCAAGTTACTTTGTTTTATTGTATATCAAATATGTTTACCCACCTGCCTCGACGTGTTTGTAATGCAATGCTGTGGTATCGTACGTCAGTAGTCTGTCAACTGTTTTTATGTACCACCTGTGCCAAGTCTTAATATTTGACCAGCAAATACCTTTAATGGTTGCGGAACACTTGACTTACTTTTAAGGTAACTGTGGTTTTACATGTTAAACGTTTCAAACAACATTATATAACAAAAACACTTGTATATGCTATAAAGACCAGAAGTGCATTTATGTATATGGACAAAACCATGAAAATGTAGTCCAATAGTCATAGCATAGCATAGAAACAAGTAGTCATACAATGTAATTTTATATGTTTTCGGGGTTCAGATCGACTTTCGGTAAATAAAAACCAATACATTATATATAATAGATTCATAGAAAATCAATCAAAAAATATTAGGCATGTTGTGCATTGAACTACTACTCATTTGAAATCATGTCAGCTCATCTATTTCATGTTCACTTAGGCAAGTTTTAAGACACCACGGACAAAATTCATCCCCTATTGAGATAGAGAGTTGGGGTGAGAAATCGGGCCGGATGAGAAAACGTGTCACTTATGCCCAAATGTTTTGCACGATTTCTCAAATCGTGTCTGGGTGAGAAATCATGCCGTAACCTTGACAATAAAGCAACATACAACATGTATTTTGTCAACCATTTATAAACGATCCATGAACACTGGCAATGGCCGATTGATCTTATCGTTCAAGATGTGTTACCTGCATTTTTTTCGCTTTAATCCTTAAGGAAATCCGATTTAACCGATTTTAAGCATTACTGGCATGTAATACTGTAAGCCCTCAAACCCAACATTAACTCGAGGTGATATTTCCTGCTGTATGCAAAATGAGTGAGTAAACCAAACGATAAAGAAAGTGATTATTTTTGTTTTATAGACAGCGGTTTTAACAATATTATAATATGTTATATAAAAGTCTCTACTTATAAGCTCGTTGAAGGAGGCATTTTGATTCAAAATAAACGTCATATTGAATGGTCAAAGTCTAACCACAGACGTGTAGAGCAATCTAATTCCGTGGTCTAACGAACGGGACTTACATTTCGATGTATTAAAGATTCAATTAAAACTTTGTAAACATTGTCTTCCATGTTATATCAAAAGCAGAACGGACCACTCTGTTAGCTGTTGCGGTTGTTTAAGATCCTCGATGTACACGAGTGTGTGAGAAAGGGATGGATGAGGGAAATATTGCTGGGGTAGGTCACCCCAAATACAGTATATAAAAGGCGTTTATAAATGACGTTTGTAACAAATACAATCTAATAGTCTTTCTCTCTATATATAACCAGATATGTGTCGCATACATAACTTACAGCAATGGCTAAATCATAAGATAGTTGCAGTGTACTATATGGTCAACTAGTTATTGGACAAAATAACCGGAACCGCTTGAATACTATACAAAATATCACCTCCATACCCGAGGCACGAGTCAACGGTTGGGCTGTTGGTCTGTGTACTGGACCGCTTCCGTTTAAGCGGTTAAAACGGCCGGACCACAGTAATTCGTTTATCAAATAAGGCCGGACCTAGTTAGCTGATGCTGCTTTCAGGCGAGCCTTGACAAAACCTTGCTAGGCCTGCATTAACATTTGCAGGTCCGCCATGATTTTTACCCGAAATTGTTACATTTATAAACGGACAACCCGGTTGTTCCGCATAAACGAACAGGCCCCTGGACACGTCGATAAATCCGATAGAAACCAGTATATGCCATTTATGGAATAAAATATAACATATTTACACTACTTTCAAACAAGTACAATCCACATAGAAATATTACATGCAATAAATGATTTCCAATCCTTTCCAGGACCTATTACACCCATGTGAGAAATCGTGCTAAAATTGCTGAGTTCGCAACACGATTTCTCACCTCTGCACTAGTTCTCACCCGGGTAAGAAATCGTATTAGGAGTAGGCATATTGCCCGTTCCCATGAGTACGAACATTGCTTTTGATTTTAGGGGATTGTGGTATACCTTGGCTTGTTTATTTAGAAACTACTGCGCAAACTTCAAACTTTTTTCAAATTTCAAACTTGTTCTAACTGTAATTTAAAGCCCACCTGGTCCGAAGGACCATTGTGAGTTGATGCCATGACGCAGCGTCCGTCGTCCGTCGTCCGGACGTCCATCCGTCAACTTTTCCTTTAAAATGCTACAAGTCCTGAACGACCCAGTAGATGTGGGCTAAATTTGTCCATGGATCATCATTAGGCCAAGGGGACTCACTTTTGTATAAACTGTGGGTGTGGCCCCCCTTGGTGCAGAGAAGCGGGGCCCAACGAATAGGAAATAGAGGTAAAACCTTTCAAACCCTGCATCTTACGTAGGGATACGTTTGTTATCCTAATTTGGTCTGGACCATCCTTGGGCAAAAAGGACTTGATCTTGTATGAACGGTGGATGTGGCCCATTTGGGTGCAGAGTTGCGGGGCTAAATAGGGGAATTTGAGGTTTATTTCTTTATAATACTTCTTCTTCTGTACCGTTGGAGGGATTGTTTGTGATAAGAATAATTCCCCATGATTGCGTTTTATCCAGGTGAGCGATACAGGCCCTCTAAACATGTTTATCTCAACATTTCTGACTTACAATGGTATACAAAAATATGTAGCATTCACAGATTTAATGTATAAGCATGCGTGGTTGTACAGAGGGATACAAGTATCATAGTAATAGAGGTGTACTGTAGTTACATATAATACATGTAGTCACTAATGATATTCGATGTTAAGTTTCCGAACAGATCTAAATCATGGCCTATCATTTGCTGAGTCATTTCAGGCTATAACAATTTCTGCTCAGATTTATGGACTACAATAACAGTTGTTTAATTAAATATTTTTATCGTGTCGTTGAAGATGGGAAAAAGGCCAACATCTGCCTGCAGAGTGCCTTCTGATAGGTCGAAATGTATGCATTGTCCAATATCCCTATATAAAAGTGTGCAGTGTCACTACGAACACTACTGCGATCTGCGTTATTTTTTTTATTTGACAAAATGTCCGTGTTAGGTTGGGTCCTGATTGGTCGACATTTATATATTGACCGATGTTATAGATTTAATATGTAGATGTATTATGTAGGGTTGTCAAAGGTTAGCCGGTTATCAAGTTACTCGGGCGAAAGACCACGAACCGGTTACCAAATTCCTTAACCGAAAAGTCGGACATTTACTTACCCCTTTTGGGAGCCCCATTGTGTGCCTGGCTTAGACCTACAATCTGTATTTGTATAGATGCGACCGAAATAGGATAGTTTTGTAATAAAAACAGTGTTTATGGATTACACGTTAGTGTTAATTTTGCAAAGATGCGTCGCCAACACCATTTTTAAGATTTTAAAAGGAAGACAGAATAAAAAGCTTTGATATATCAACTTTCTGAGATAGAACGCGCCTTTACATGCAATATGTAAATAAAATCTGAAGAGTTCACACTTGAATGAGCAAGCCTGTCTTAAAAAAGTTTAGTCGAGCAAATTTTGTTCTAAAGAATAATATATCCACATATGAGTTAGATTACAGATAACTGTAATTGAATCCGTCTTTACTGCATTCCGACATTCGTTGTCCATGAAAAATACTTACTGAGGTTACATGCAACTATTTCCTGTGTTAACCTTGAAATACCCTTGTAAACGATCATGCTATTTAATATATTCATGTATGTTTGTGGTGGTGAAAATACGTTTTAGATAGAACATTTTCCAAACATATAATATAATTTTTGCTGTTTATTTTTTGGCTACCAAATTGTTCGAGTAACCGGTTACAAAAATAAGACCGGTTTGACAACCCTAGTATTATGGCATTGCGATTATTTCTGATGCATCACTTGCGACTTCTGGGATAGTTATTGACACCCTATGGTGTAACGGTTCCTGTTACTAGTATACTGTATATTGTTATACTTTATGATAAAAAAGGAAATGTATGTACTCTTCCAGAGCAATGATTTCACGTCTGTTTTAGTAATATCATGTTGTGTACAAATTCGTGTCCTTTGTTCTTTGACTAAAGAAAGGTGTCCTTTGTTAGATATGACTTGCAAATTATTTTATAAACGGTATATCTCGCGCCAATTGCCTTTTGAACACGTGTCTTTGTTTAGGATATTAAGTGGAATGAAAAGTATATGAATACTAGATAAATAGATAAATACAGGTACTGCCATCAAAAGAAGTTGTAGCATATGTGTTAATTCTCTAATAATAACAATAAATAATATACATTTATATAGCGCCCTTTATAATTTGTAAGACAACTCTAAAGTGCTTTTAACCATATGGATAATAGTATGATATATAATTAGTTATAATTGTGAAACAAAAAACAAAGGCTTACAATCACTTTTTACACATTAAGCAAGCAGATAATCATCGCAATGTCTTTGCAAAGAGCCTAAAGTGCAGACATGAAGAGGTGACTTTGTATGTCTTTCTTAAATTTGGCCAGGGTATTTGACTTGTTAATAGCAGATGGTAAGCTGTTCCACGACGTGGCCGAAACCCTCCCAAAACACTGGTTTCCATAGGTCACAGTTCGATATTTTGGTTCTGACTCCGACCGCAGTGATCGTGACGGCTGATACAGGGTAACAAGCTCATTTAGGTAATGGGGAGCTGTTCCATTCAGTGCCTTGTATATGTACACCAATTATTTGTACTGCGACCTGTTTCGTACAGGTAACCAGTGCAATGAATATAACACAGGTGTGATGTACTCTCTCTTTCGGGTAGAAGTAACCAGCCGTACTGCAGTGTTCTGGACCCTCTGCAGACGACTAGAGCAGGACGTTACTATAATCCAACAGAGCTGCAGTAATAAACTGCCGAATACAGCCGATGTTTCTGAACTGATAGTAACATGATTTGGCAATAGCGTTCACTTGTTTCTCCATGTTCAGTTAACTATCAGAGTATACCCTTAGGCTTTTAACAGCTGGGACAGTCTAAATAGTTCTGGCACCGACCTTGAGCTGTAGAGCCATTGTTTGCAGACACCTTGGGAAAAAGACGATTACTTCCGTCTTTTCCTGATTAAGCTTTAGCATGATGGCGTTCATCCAGGTACTGATATCTGTCAGACAAGCTTTCAGATTTTCTGTAATGGTATCTAAACTGTCCTGTGGTTTGATGACCATGTGAATGCGTGTGTCGTCACCATAGCAATGATAGCAAAGGCTATGGAGACGACAAATCTCTCCGATCGGATTGGAGTACAGGCAATATTTTCTTGAGTAACCCCGCAATTTAGTACTTTGTCATGTGAGGTGCTAGATCCGATGGTAACACATTGTCGTCGTCACTCAGATAAGACTGTATCCAGTACATTAAAATAATCGAATTCACTAGACACTTCATTAAGGATTACATAAACGATACCAAATTTTCTAAATCAAATCTGTAAGCGAAACAAACCTGTAACTAAACTGTCTGTAAGCTGTTACTGTTCTTATCAGGAAGAAAACAAGTATCACTATAATTTTCATCGTAACCGATTTGAGGAATGCCGTGTTACATTGTTCATAAAATTATCTAGATTGGTAGTCATATTGAATGGTTCTGATAAACTTAGTCAGAAGGATAACGAAGCTATAAGATTGTTTGTACAAATATATATAAAAAATACAAAACGTTTTAAATAATCATTTTAATGTTGAAATTATATGATGAAATCGGGTTTCTATTTAGCATTTATGAGAGAGAGAGAGAGAGAGAGAGAGAGAGAGAGAGAGAGAGAGAGAGAGAGAGAGAGAGAGAGAGAGGGACCATTGTCTGAAGAAGTTTGATTTCATAAGCTGAATTTAGAGTTTATATTATATCTATATGTTTTACTATTCCCAACAATTTCATATTTCGTCTGTTACTCTGATTAACATATATATAATACGTCATTCAGCGATTATGTAATGTGTTAGAAGTCAACATATTCCTATACCAATGCTTGTATTATTACGACATTACTTTGCCAATGCTAGAATTATTACGACATACGAAATTATTAAAACTGTAATTGTATATCATGTTAAAGTCACTGAAGTGGGTACTGGTATGTAAATACTATATATTTCCATCTATGTATATTAATGTTTATTTTATGTATAAATATTATTGTATATAGTATGCTGCCCATTGCATTATCGAAGCAATTATTTAATTGTTAATGAAAAAGGACATTTTTAAGTTGTGATAACTTGTGTAATAAGATTTGTTTAAACTATACATGAACATGCATATCCAAGTTTCCTCCATGCGGTACAAAGGTGTAACGTGGAGTCATCTCGCTCACCGCTCCACGCTCATTCCACGTTCGTAGCAAACGTGTATAGCCGGTGGAGAGTAGATGGGATATTCTTCACGGTGGAGAGTGGAGTTGACTTTTTTTATACCTCCCCTCCACGCTATAGAACGCCACCGCGAAACGTGGGGATCGTATGCCTCCACGCGTGGTGTAGTGTATATATAGGATACGATCTAGGCCACATCAGAGTCATAAGTAGCTCGTTATGTCGTGTTAAGCGCGCTGATTCTCTGTATCTCACGGGTGTTTGTATATGTATATGTTAAGCAAGTGTCCTGTATAAATCAATGAGCGTTACAGGTGTCTCAGTAATTTCATAAAATGTCGCCTGCGTTGACTTAATGAAATCCAAACATCTCTTCCGGTAAAGTTCGTCCTGTCGTCGTCATGAAACATTAAACATCAAAAGTTCAGAAATGTACCCCAATACAATTCACCGTCAGTTAGACATAGCTTGAGACGATGACACTAGTCGGTGTGGAACCGTAGCACAGTCTAATCTCACTGTTTGTGTAAAGATAACATTATGTTTAAATAAATAAGAAGCTTTAACATTGTGTTTCTGTTTCAGGAACTTATTTTCTCACACTACCGTTTTGATTGGCTGGGTTTGGATAGCTAAAGGACAGCGCCACCATATGAGCATGCGTATACGATACGTATCCGTATACGTGTTATCTGAGAAAACTATCAGTCACTGCTTGTACCCAACACGGAGAAGGCTATACTACATAAAGTAAACGAAGCTATTCAAGGTACGATATTTTCTTTAAATGCTTTTCAGATTTGCCAAATGTAGCACGTTTATGTTATATTGATATATTACTGAGAATCGATAATAGTTTATATCACGACAAATATGATCAATGTAACCAAACATAGTAAAATAGCCCTGTCATAATTGGCAGTGTATCTCATGTTGCGTGTGTTACCACAATGGCTATATGAGTATGTGAGAACGAGTAGAAAACCACAGAAATTATATTTTATGTGGAATTGTCTCGTTTCCACTGTATTCATTGTATGTTTATGTTGAATAGATATATTACTGAGAAACAATAATATTTTACATAACGACAAACATGGTAAATGTAACTAAAACATCTTTCATACTTATCACGATCTGTACCTTGTTTATGTTCTGCACCGATATAACCATTTTAACATAAACTGTTTGTAAAGTAAACATTTAAATTGTTTTGACCACTGACAGAATTAAAGAGCTCAATAAAATGCAGTGTTCCATTCCACTTTAATATGTATTTACTCGTCTAGATTTAGTGGAAATCAACAAAGTTTTCAAACCAAGCTATACATGAATTACTCATCTATACTAGCTCTATTTGAAGTGATGTTACCATTTCATATACACAGATTACACGACATTGATCTTATATTAAGGATATACGTAACACTAAGGAGAAGGAAGTGTTATGCTTAAAACATTATACTTATAAAACCTAAAAACTCTGGTCGTAATTAGCCGTGTGGCTAATGCGTTTTACCAAACAATAATCCCATAGCTGAGAGGGCCTGTATCGCTCATCTGGATATTGAAGCAGTCATAGCAAAATATTAAATAAATTTTGTTTTGTGCTATATATATTCCAAATAATGGCTCTGTCTCTCAGTAACACCCTTACCTTATTGGGTCCCATTCGTGTGTCTCCATTGGGATGGGCATGGGTTCTACAATATAGTATCATGTTGGGCCAAGGATATTATATATCAAATTAAATTAAGATAAAGCTAAGGTATAAAGTAGGTAAAGGTCATTTTCATTTGCAAACTTTGGTTGCAAATTAGTCAAACTTGTTTAGTCCGTGTGCATTCAGGGAATTCTCTCAAACGGTCATGTGACATCAAACATTCACGTTTAATAAACTTATATTTTGAGGGTTTTTATAGCTTTATTTCAGCTTTTTTCTGAGTGATGATATTTGATATGTAATAATCGTCTGACAGACTTATGTATCATGTTTAGATCATGTATTACGGCGAATATTCTTTGTAACACTTGATATTTGAATTCATCAGATGATCTCTGTTCGAATGAAAATTGCCTCGGGTTCACTCATTTTATCTTTACAATATCCTATGTTTTGACCGATGGATGTGCTAGCATTGAGGAAGGGATTTTTTGTTTGAAAGCCTAAACTTAAAATCACTTTCAAATATTGTTGTACAATATGGGACAACGCTTTATCTGTTGAAATATATCTCTAACATCATTAAAGAGACAGCTGATAGTATGATATTTAAATTTGCGAATATATACACTACTAAAAGGTTCGGTAAAGAAGGAGAAGTACATGAGATTTATCGTGTTCGAAGTTGTAAATCAAATATGTAAAAAAAAAAAGCATACATACGATGGTTTTTTGTTTAGGATGTTAACACTGCAAATATATATTATTGATGTTTGGTTTCATTTAAAATGACACCATACTGAGCATTTATTTTATTTGAGTAAGAATATGATTCGAAAAAGTGACAGTGATTACGCATCATAAACATGGTTATATCTGTTAAAATTCCCTTATCAGTTCCATTCATGAATATAAATCAAATGGTAAATGTGTTCTGCTCAATATCAATTTCAATTTCAACATATTTTATTGAAAAAAAGAGGTCAACAGGATTGGACATCAGGCATTGCCTTTGTAAGTCCTCTCCTTACAGCTACATCCAGTGTTTAGTGCATTGTTTACGTAGGTAGGGAAAGCAGGAATGCTACCATTAAGAAAGGAAAAATAACGATAGGAATGTCGACTTCCTCGTTTATTGTACAAGTTAGTAGTAAGCTGTTCCTGTAATGTTGCAAGTTAAGAGGAAAAAGGTTGTACTAGTCTGTCATTATGAATGCAATGGTTATAAGATTTGTTTGAGTTTTTCTTTGAGCAAAAGATGAACATAAAAACAAACAATGTGAGTGAATTAACTAATCGAAGTGACCGTAACGATTGAAACTGTTCATCGATATTTTCAGTGTATATACGAAACAAAGCTATTAATAAATACAGCTCACGGTATATAGGACTGACCAAACGCTATTTATAACTGCAGTTCCGGGTATAAGAGAAACAAACGAGGCACACTAATAAGGTTGTGATGGACGGAGAGTTATCTTTAGAAACAGTTACCATGTAGGAGTATCGAGAAAAAAAGCAAAAGTGTTTAGTTCAGAGTGTTGAGCTTTCCAAAACCACGAACAATATAGTCTTACAGTAATGTATTATTTAGTTGTATAGTATCTGTAACGTGTAAAGCTTAAAAGAAACATGTGTTATGCAGTACGTGTATATGTAACAATGATTGTTAAATCTATATCAAATGATGTTAATCTCGTCAAACAGTTTGTTCCATTTATTCACCATACATTAAATACTAAGAACATTTGGTAGCGTGTGGTGATATGTAATGAAAGTATGGTTATATCATAATATAGTAGCTGGCCTCTTATCATCATAGCTAACACAATACAGTAGCTTGCCTCTTATTGTGATAACTTCAATAGAGTGGAGTGCGTTTTATCAGCAACACTTACATTAATACAAGAATGTAAGTTTCATTCTTAAAAAAAATGTATAATTTGTATACCACAGCGAGTGTGTTTCGTCCTATTTAAAGCAATGAATAATTGTTTAGGAACTGTAAGTTGTTTTTAAGGTTAGCTTTCAAATGACACACATCTAAATTCAAATTATATCCTTAAATTATCAGCAAACAAATGCATCCTTGATCTAGATCTAAATGGTTTCCTTACATAATGCTAACAAAATGAAACCATATCTGCTTGTAAAAGAACGTATTTCATGCAATAATACAATACAAGCCGATACTACAATTCTTAAATAAATGAGTATATGTTATAATTTCATGTCTATTTTTTTTCGTTGTTAACACTATATAATAGGTGGCCTCTTATCATCATATCTAACATAATATAGTAGCTGGCGTCTTATCATCATAGCTAACACAATAAACTAGCTGGCCTCTTTTCATCATAGCTAACACAATATAGTAGCTGGCCTCTTATCAGCATAGCTAACACAATATAGTAGATGGCTTTTATCATAATATCTATAGTTGCTGGCTCTTATCATCATAGCTTCAATAGAGTGGATGGCGTTTTATCAGCAAATCTTACATTAATACCAGAATGTTGTTTCATTCTTATTAAACCTTTTATAACTTTTATAACACAGCGAGTGTTTTTCGTCCAATACTGCAAAAAATAATCATTTTGCCATATGTCACTCAAAAAATTATTGCCATATGTCATTTTAAAGATTATTGTTTTTGTATCGATTCATTTTAAGCTTTCCTGTTTCTCTCGCTTACCAAACATAAACAATTATTTAAAAAGTTTGTGACATTTGTTATATCAGATGTTATTTATATAAGACAGTGGAATTGACAATAATAAACAAAACTGTTCGTCGATACAGTTCGGTGTAACTGCGAAACTAAGCTATAAATAAATACAGCTCATGGTATATGGGACTTAACGAACGCTATTTATAGCTTAAGTTCCGGGTATTGGAGAAAGGAACCAGATACACTGGTAAGATTTAGTTTGTTGATGAATTAAAAACTTTTTGTCTAATTCCAGTTCGAAGAATTGAGAAATTACAATCGTTTTCTTTACAAATAGTTCGGAGTATTGCGAAAAAAACACCAAACGTGTTTAATTCATAGTATTGAGTTTTCCGACACCACGAACATACAGTGTCGATTTACGCAATACTTAATATTAATACAATAGATCATAGTTCAGTTCTCGATATGTACAGTTTTTACTTTTTGAAAATAATTTCATTTTCAATCTTTTACGCTGTAATACAGTCTCCACATTTTCGTATTAACCTATATAAAACTACCACATATATACATATCAATCGAATTTCTTTCATTCTTTTTTCGATATGTTTCGGAGGTATAATCGTATTCAGTGTCTGTTGTTTGTATATGTCTTTGTTTCTTGACGTTGTGATATATATGTTTTGTTTCACTTGTATAGGAAAAGTTGGTCAATTTCCATCAAACTATGGCCACATAATAATGGATATTGATTTGAAACGATATAGCTTCAATTAATGAATCAGACAGGTCATGAGTACAGCATCGTGGTAAAACATTGTATAGAAAGAACGAACACAAACCTTATAACTAAACAATAGAACAAGCCTAAATCGTCGCCTGCTAAACAATATCTTACAACAACAAAACAATATATGAATTGATTTTCCTTTATGTTAACGACTGATTCAATGAGATCGTCCGGCGTTACCGTAACAGACAGCCGGTAAACGTCTATTTTGCTCTAGAAACACAGTGGAAAACGGAAGTGATTTTTTTGTCGTTTTTAAAACAAATACATATTAAGTATATTTGTTTGAACGAGGCACTGCAAATTGTTTTTTAAGGTTAGTTCTCAAATGACAAACATCAAAATTCAAATTATATCCTTCAATTTTCAGAAATTCATCCTTGATCTAGATCTAAATGGTTTCCTTACATAATGTTAACAAAATGAAATCATATCTGCTTGTTAAAGAAGTATTTCATGAAATACTACAATACAAGCCAATACTACAATTCTTAAATAAATGATTATATATTATACTTTTATGTTTATTTTTTTCGTTGTTGACAGAATATAGTAGCTGGCCTCTTATCATCATAGCTAATACAATATAGTAGCTGACCTCTTATCATCATAGTGATTTTCCTCCGCCTATTCTTATATTTT